GGTCTTCATCAGGATCAACTTTTAACCATAAAATCAAGATATATATAGAAAAAGATAGACAGTACTCACCAATTGTGATGTGATTCCCTCATCCATTCAGTCCACACCCGGAAGCGAAAACCAGAAATCACGTGACATACAGGATCATGTGAGAGTGATGCCAGTGACTGGAGTTGCTAGGAGACCAATGAAAATATTATAGGAATGGTCTCATATCGGTCTGTGATTATGAAATATATGTGGGTAGTTATTAAATTCCATAGGTGAAAGCAGTGTATATAATCTACACACATTCATTAAATATATGTGTCAGCAAGTGATAGAAATACAGTGTCATAAAGTGTCATGTGTAAAAAACGATCTTACACCAAAGTGTCTGCAACCAAGGTGAAAATAGATTTGTGTAGTTAAACATATATACAAATACCAAATTAAAACATATATGTAGGCCATGGACATAAACTAAAGTATATGTTTTTTGTGTATAATATAGATTATCTGTTACTTAAAGGCATAGGCAGGAGCAATTTGAAAGGTCACAATGTATACCCCATAATAGCTCTCTAATAAACAGAGGAGCTTAGAAGTATCAACATTTGGACATCGTTCCTTAAACAATAGGAACAACAATTGTTTTATATCTTATAGAGCAATCCAAGTTATGCAGAACTTTTTTATATGTATATATATATATATTATTCCACCTGTATATTAGCTCAAAAAGATAAGTTTTTATCTATTCGGTCCCCTTCACCCTATCCCACACCTGGAGATAGGATGTTGGGGGAAAAAAGACAGTTACAGGTCTAATATAAGATCTAGAACCAAAATATGAAAACCATCTTTTCAAATGGTGGATGCCAGCTCAGGTGATTCAACTTCAGATTCTGATATAAGGAGTGACAATAAAATCCAACCTGGGGCTAATTTTTTAGAAGGTGGTATACAGCAGAGAGAACCACCAGATGCACCCCGGATCAACACCAGAGGCGCAAAAAGAACCGCCCAATACGACGAGGACAAAATAACTGGAAGAAATATAAATCCTACTGGAAGACCTCCCAGAATGCGGAAATGACATCCGTATTTAATTTATCAGACAAGATTTTAAATGCTGATCACTATTCCTTACTCAATAAAGGACTATCATTTGTCCCGTTTTCCAAACCTAACCCTTTCCAAATGGAAATTGAATTATACAAGACTCAGCGTACACTTTATAGTAATGAAGTTAGAAAGGATAATGTAATAGCAACAGTCCATCCATTCTCTAAGAAATCTAATAAAGACATATGAACACCCAACTCTTCTATCAAAACCTTCATTCAGACAGTAAAAGCAGATACGGAACAAATATCCAAGAAACTTCCAAGATACCACCAGAACCTTACAGAAGGAGAAAGAATGGCTTTAAAAGATCTGAGTGAAGATCCCTCTATCGTGATTCACTCTGCTGATAGAGGTGGAGCAACAGTCATACAATCATACCAGAAATATCGCAAAGAGATAATGCGACAATTGGATGATGGTGCCACTTACATCAAACTTACCTATGATCCTGTGGCAAAGTTCCAAAGGAGGATTAAAAATCACATAGAATTGGAATAGAATTTTCTGGATGAGAAAACAGCACAATTTCTTTATGTTGAAAATCCGAAACATCCAGTGTTATTTACATTATCCAAAATTCACAAGGACCCCATAACACCTCCGGGCAGACCAATCGTGTCGGCAAAAGAAGGCTTATTAGAACCTATTATGAAATATATTGATTATTACATCAAAAAAAGTGTAATGGCATTACCTACATGTTTGCGAGATACTCAGGATTTCATTCACAAGATCAATCAAACACCTGACATTGAAGAAATAGATTTACTAGTTACGATGGATGTCCAGAGCCTATACACAGTCATACCTCATAGTGACGGTGTCCAGGCTCTGAGAGAAGTTTTAAGCTCGTCCCCACTTTACCTGGGACCTCCCATAGAGTTCCTAATGGAATTTCTATATATTGCCTTATCCTGCAATTATTTCAAATTTGAAAATATTTTTTTTTCTACAACTATCTGGGACTGCCATGGGTGCAGCAATGGCACCTTCTTACGCCAATGCATTTATGTTTGTTTTTGAAAACACACAGATGCTAAAAAAATATGGAAATCGAATTAAACAATACCATTGTTTTGTGGACGACATCTTCCTGGTCTGGATGGGGAGTGCAGAAGAATTGAATTTAATGATACAGGAGATCAACCAAGCTCCTACACCGGTGAAGTTGAGCATGATGTGTGATTTACAATCCATAGAATTTCTGGACGTGACGATCTTCAAGCAACAGGGCAAGATAAAATTTACTTTATATCGAAAAGAGACAGAGCGCAACACTCTACTACTGGCCTCAAGTTTTCATCCCAGAAACTTCAAAGCCTCCCTGCTAGTGATGTCCCGAACGGTTCGCCACGGACGGCGAACATATGCGCTGTTCGGTCCACCCCCTATGTCATCATTGAGTAAACTTTGACCCTGTACCTCACAGTCAGCAGACACATTCCAGCCAATCAACAGCAGACCCTCCCTCCCAGACCCTCCCACCTCCTAGACAGCATCCATTTTACATTCATTGTGAAGCTGCATTCTTAGTGAGCTGTCCAGGAGGTGGGAGGGTCTGGGAGGGAGGGTCTGCTGCTGATTGGCTGGAATGTGTCTGCTGACTGTGAAGTACAGGGTCAAAGTTTACTCAATGATGACGAATTGGGGGCGGACCAAACAGCGCATATGTTCGCCATCCGTGGCGAACCGTTCGGGACATCACTACTCCCTACCTATATCCCAATTCCTGCGGGTATATAGATATAACAGTACCAAAGAAAAATGTGAAATACAACTCCAAGAAATGTGGAATAGATTTAAGGCCAGGGGATATCCGTTCCACACTCTTGAAACAGCACAAAAACGAGCCAAAGAAATCTGTGAATCTGAAAAGAATAACAAGGCAATTAAAAAAACATTGACATCCAATATATTTTTACCCTTAACTTTCCATACGGGTACTTCAAAAGTCAGAGAATCTATTAACAGACATTGGGACATGTTACAGACTGATAAACAACTACCTAAGTCTTTTCAAAACCGACCCACACTTATAAAAGAAATATAAATCTCAAAGATATTCTCACAAAGAATGACCCTAGACACTGCTATCAAGGAGCCACCAAAATTGCTAAAAAGGGATGTTTTAAGTGCAGTGGATGCGTTACCTGCAGTCACATGGTTAGTGGAGCAACTTTTGTCCATCCTCATAATGGTCAAAGAATTAATATTCCCCATTATATTACCTGTACCACTGACCATGTGATCTATTTAATTACGTGCCCATGTGGTTTATCTTATGTGGGTAAAATTGATCTTACCCTTAGGATCCGGATTCGGGGACATCGATCTAATATTATGACTGCATTCCGGGATAATTACAGCGACAAACCGGTGGCGAAACACTTTTTGGCTCTTGGACACAGACTACCAACCTTACGCTTTACAGCAATTGATCACATCCCCCCTTTACCTAGAGGCGGAGACAGATCCAGAATGCTGCTACAAAGAGAGGCACGCTGGATCTATCGACTGGATACTGTGGCCCCTAAAGGACTCAATGAAAATATTGTATACTCAATTTTTCTTTAATCTGCTATTTCCAAATAAGGTTATAATGTATACCTTTACAATTCCTAATCCTCTCTATATGAAGCTATGAAGATAGTATATGTCTAGTGTTATGGACAGATGAATTAAAATAAAATGGCTATTTACTAATGTCTATTTATTCTCTGTTCACTATGTTAAAACTGGCTTCTAGAGTAAATATTCCCTTCCCCCCTACAATGTTGTCAGCTGCTGTTTACTATGTAAATTCCTCACTTCCTGCTAGCCTCCCCCCCCCACCTTCAAATCAATAAAACCTTGTGTAACCAAAATTCCTGTGATAACTCCCTTTACTAACTCCTCCCCCACTACCTTTGTGCCAGTTAACAGCTATATGCCACGTATAGCTAAATGGAGGATCAGTGGTTTAGAACTGATAGAAACTACTCACTCCCCCTCCCATCGTGTATCCAAAAGTCTGTAATGATGACACTACATCCTGTAGGGTGGTTTAAACAAGAGCCCCCTTTCTCTGTTAACCAATTGGTGAATGTATACTGTATGTTTAAACTGTGACGTATTTTTGCTTTAAGAAGGAGCCCCCACTCCGGGGAATAACGTATTCCTCACTGATCAGAAACTTTGTCTCCGGTGTGAATTACTTCTAGGGAAAGCGTGCACGCATTAATCAATCAATTTGGAAGGTGTAGATAGACAAATTATCAAAGTTTTCTTTGATCTAAAACAATTTGGGGGCTCGTCCGGGATGTGAGGGTTACGTTAATAAGGAAGCCGTAAAATCCCAGGACCGGAGAGGAGACCCCCAGAGATTAAAAAAAAAAGAAAAAGAAAAAAAGAGCCTGATCACCTCTGCATATGGTATATGAGTAACTTACCTATATTTTCCATTCTTTGGAATTGGTCTGCACTCTGGGCCTTCACTCGGCTTCCTGTGGTTAACGACAGACAGGTATATAGTATGCCCACATGTCCCCTTTATTTGAATAGAACCTGTCAATTTGTCTATCTACGTCCTGTGTGTGAGTTTTATGTGTGAAAGTGTCTGCTTGAGAATCTGTTTTACTACTTGCTTAACACTGTTATATAATGCTGCCAAGTGTGGTTAAGTGCTTGCAGATTTAGCCAAGTTCGGGTTTGGTGGAAAAACCCTGGCTGTTTCTTTGTTTTAGTAAGACTCGGTTGAGAGTTTAATGATTTCTTTTGTTTTGTTTTTTAGCTAAGCTTTGGTAAAGAAGCTAGTGAGTGATGTTTTGGCCTCGTTTGGTAAAAAACCTGGCGGTTCCTTTGTTTTATTAAGACTCGGTCAAGAGTTTAAAAAATTTATTTTAGCTAAACTTCGGTAAAGGAGCGGTTTATGTGCTTGAGTGTTTCTGTGTGTGTGATTTGATTTATTATAAGCCGGCATTTATTTTAAGGACTTTGTGATTTAATTACATCTGTATTTTGTGCTTTTGTCTGTGTATGTCTTGTTGGGTACCATATATGTTAATTGTAATCTATACAATCTGTATCGTTACTCTCCTATTCTATCTTTTGTCCTAAGGAGAGCTGTGCTTAGGCAATCACATGGTTAAAAAACTTTGTGCTTGCAAGTCTTCCTCCCTCCTCCCCCCTCCTTCTTTGTTGCTTTCTCTTGCTCTGACTGCTATGAGTATTGGCTACAGGGGGGGTGAATGGGTGAAATGCTTGTAAACTCAGTGAGGAATGTGAGGGAAACAAGGTATATTTGCTGGACGAATAACCTAGTTAGGAACTTTGTGTAATCTTGTATATGTTGTTAAGTAAGAGGTTATTGGCATGTTGGAATAAGGAAAGTTAGATTTTGTTGGAACAAATGAATTGTGGAATTCATAAATGATAATGCAGAGAAAAGTAAATTGCAGTTTGCATGTAATAGCAGCTATTCAGATGCTGTATTGTGGCAATCTTTATACACACAATGTGAAATTGCCAATAGTGAAATTGACAAGAAATTGTTTGTTAATAAGAAAAAAAACAAAAGATCAGAAATGTTATGAAACTAGTCTGTACTTACAATGCATTGATTTGTAAACGAGATGCAGGTCAAGAAAATTTAGAATCAGCAGATAAAGAAATAGATTTGAATGGGTTAACAGAAGACAAATCAGATTTAAATGAACAGTGTAACAATGTAACAGAGAGAACATTGTCAGAAAAAGTCTGTGAATTAGAGGATAGACTTGAATTAAGAAATTATCTTTTTTGCCAGTTTAGAAATGAAGTTAAGCATGTGTGTGTTAATACAAGAAAAATAAAGGCACAGAATCTAATCCCAGAACCAATAGATACTGAAAATGTATCCTCGCAGAGTGATTTGCAGAAATGTAAATTTCAAGACAGAGCTGCAAAACTTAATTTGAAAATCCATGAACAATTAATGAAAATTGTGAAATGTATTCCAGTTTATGACACGTCAGTGGATGCATTTACTAATGCTGAAATGTTTGAGTCAAATGTGGACAAATACAGCCTAAATGACGAACAAAGGAATAGACTATTTCAAATATGGCTGCCGACTCAAATGGCATGTAGGCTGACCACGCTTGTAAAATGTGAGGACAATGATGAAATAATATATGGAAATAAACGAGACAGATTAACACAATTAATAAAATTAACAATAGGGAATGATTTTGCAGACACTGAAATGTTGGAAAAACTAAAACCACACATTGATGAGGATATATTTAGTTTTCTTGTAAAATTTGAAAGTGCATATAGACTTGTTTCTAATTTTCCTGAGAATCAGTTAATTAATGAATTTGTGAAAAAATTTCAAGATCTAGATCCAACTGCAATTGTAATTGCTAGAGAAAAAAGGACTTTGAATGAAGTTGCTTTGTTCTTGGATAACTTAAGGAGGGAAACCAATAATGAAGGGGTTAAAACGACTTGTGGATTTAGGCAGAGGAAGAAGTGCAGATTTTACACACCTCCTTCTCGGACAGAGTGTAGAGTGATACAGACAGCTGAGCCCCTCCCAATTTGTTCAAATCAAAGGCAGAATGAAATACACTAATGTAGCAGTGAGGAACATGCAATGTTATATTGGGTGTATGCAATTATACAGTAACTCCAATCATTTTACAGAAGAAAAAACAATGTTGTTGCTTCTGAGGTTGATTTAAAATCTTTGATTTAATTCATGAGAATGAGATTTTAATGTCATGACTGATAATGGATTACTATATTTTGCAAAGCCTGGACATACACATGTTTTGGATATACTGAAGACAAAAGGAATAATATATGGGAATGGATAAGGTTGATTTCCCCCCATCCACAGCCATGCCTACTCCTAAAGTAACATCGCGTACATCCTTACTATGCCCTTTTACTGTAGAATTTCCCGAATCCTAATGACCAATTCCACTACATGGTGTGACTTGTTTAAGCCTAAGATAAATTGGCTGTTCAGGCTACCTGTATTAACAATGTCATCAACGATGAGTTAGCATCTGTGGAGAAGTATCACTTCAGGTTGTCCCAAATTTTCTTTTAACTTAAGTTTTAGTACATAGTAAGGCCCATGCCCAACAACTATATGCAGCCTTGTATAGCAGGCCACATGACATCTATTTGTACCAAGCAAGGCCTGCCTGACTCCTCATTCCTGTCTAACATTGTTGTCTCCTGCATAAGTGTAGATGGCTCTCCTTGGAGTAGCCTGTTAACTAAGCCTTGCTTTGTGGTTACTTTCACCTGTCCTATTAATCTGCTAGGTGCAGATGTCCTTCCCCCACTTGCAGGCCCCTATCACCTTATTATTTCTTTTGTTCCACACAGTGAAACCTGACCAAGAGGCAAGGGTCCTAGCTAGTTCCCCCAATACCTTTACCTGAATTATACAGGCCCCAAAGCCTATCCAAGCTCTTACTATTCCCTAACAGGTTAAGGCTCTGGTGTCGAATGTTGCCCTGGTTACCTGAGACTTTCCATGCAATATCCCACCTCTCCTTGTGATGGACGAATTCTGTGCAGGATAATGTCACCCTGCAGGGATGATGCTCTATTTACCTGGCCACTCTTCTGCCACTTCCCAGGGGGGGAAATGATAAGACACTGACTATTATTTTTTTTTGTGCCTTTTCTTATGATCTGTTCCGGATTTGCTGTCACTACAGTGGACCAAGTATCTCACCTCAACAATGTCTGCACAAGAAGCTGAGCTATAGGCTCCCATCACAGCATGCAAGATCTCTGAAGGAAGATTGATCTCAGAGAAAGCATGTGGCAACTCTCTGGCTGACTAGGTTGTTCAATAAGTTGTAAGTGCACTAAGGGAAGTGGACAGAAAAGTGTCTGCTGAAGAAACTCCCATATTCACCATGTAAGATCCTACCCACAGACATCAAGCTCCCGAAGGAATAACAAGCAAGCTACTGACCCTGGAAAGAATGAAAAAACAAACAAACCACAAGCTGGAAACAGAAAGGGGCAACTCTTAAAGACAGGCTGTACTTCAACAATCTCAAGTTCTACTTGCCCAAGAACATATACTCAGCAGTGGTCCAGTGGGCCTACGGAGCATCTGTCCAGAACCCTCATGAACTCTTTTGATCAATAAATACTCTGAAGTACCAGGAATTGCCTCTCTGACCAACAGTTACTGTAAATCTTGTGCCATTTGTGCCAAGGGCAACTCAGGAAGAATGGAGGAAAGCCCCAAGCATCTAGCCAAACCTCATTATCTCTTCCAGAGGAGTCAAGTCGACTTCATTCAGAATGCCAAAGAATGGCTGATTCAACTATGCACTAATTATAGCAGACATGTTTTCAGGATGGCCAGAGGCCTATCCAGCCACCAAAGTGATAACCAAGACCACATGCTGAGTAGTGCACCGTGAAAGTTACAGAGATCACCCCGTGGATTCATCATTCCAGAATCAAGCCTGCCTCTGCATCATGTGAAGTAACATTTGTTGATCTTGACAACCCTTTTTTTTTTGAAACTCCATTCTTAGAGAACAAAGATACTTGTTGAAAATAAATAAATATCAACAAGTGGGTGTTTTGATGGCCATAATAATGCCTGACCACCTGCCATCGATGGAAAGCCGAATACCCCAAAAGGGGACCTCGTGAAACTAAAGAGAAATAAACATACTCCTTACCCTGCAGCCCTCACGTCTGAGGTGCCATACGCACAGTCAAAGCTTCTTCAGGATCATCTGCTTATCTTGAGTTTGTGGTGATATTAATATTGAATGTTTAAATGATCTGAATCTGCCAGTACTAGGGTAGCATGAGACAAGATTTCTAAGAATAAGTAAATGTGCCCTAGCCTAAGTTATTATGTCCATACACATAACACATGACAATCCCCAAGGTACTCTTGACACACCTCATTCATGCTTCAGGACAAAAAGGAGTACCCCTATAAAGGGTGGTTTTACCCACACATATATATATGTATATTAATGCCATAGGGGTGTCAAGGGGGTACCAAATGATTTTAAGGTAAGAAACTAAGTTTGAATCTATTCTCCCAAGCATTACGGCTAATAAAATCTGAATTGGAAGGGAAGAGGTTTATACAATAAACAGGAGACCTTTTTCTTACAGGACATGTATGACTCAGCTGAATGGGTAGGTGCCACGCATATGACTGTTAATCCCCTCAAACCACACATTAGGACTTTAAAAGACATGGTAGTCATCCCATATTTGAGGATAAGAGGGCTGTAGAGACAGGTTTCTCTGACACTAACTTGTGACTTGAATGGATGAAATACAATGCTACTAAACATAACAAGTCTAACTGCTATGTCTGCAGAGGAGCGAGGCCTCACCCAGGTACAGTATCCCTGAACCTTCCTCCGGATATGAAGTATGCGTTTTAAGTCTCTACACTGTATTTAAACCTAAGCGGTCAGCATGCGAGTCATGGAAACTTAATACCCAATCATTACTAAAAATATTATGCCCAGACGAAGGCATTACTATATATCCCGGGAACTACACTTGTTATGGGATATATGGTGGGATAGGGCGGTTACAAGCTACCTCTCAGATGACCTTCCAGAATAGAATAAGCTTAAAAATGATTTTGGCAGAAAAAGGGAGAGTATGTAAAATACTCCCAGACACCATAACATGCTGTACCTATATTCCAGATAATACAGGCCCTAGTGGTAAGGTAACGTTGGCAATAGAAAAGTTAAAGAGTTTGTCCAATGAGCTGAAACGAAATTCTGGGGCCACAGATCCATGGGAAAGATGGTTTGGATGGATGTCTGGATGGCAAGGTGCTCTGGCCCAAATAGGTGTTGCCATTTTAATAAAGATAATCATCCTCGCTCCTCTTGTTTGTTGTGTGTTACCCTGTCTTAAGAAATGCCTACAAAAGACAGTTGATCAGACAATCGACCAGACCACCCCAACCTTCCTTCACCAAGAGATTGACGACATCGACCGTGATACACCACATACACCCTTACAGTCCCACCGCACTAAATCAACAGCTACTTCCTCTTAAGGACATTTAGGGATAGCGTCTGTCTCTACGGGCAGAAGTCTGCCGCGGGAGAAGTAGTGGACAAGCTGCTATGGGGTACCCGCGCAGTGAAGTGTTTGAGGCCTGTTCAGACAGATGTGCAAGATAGCCTTTTGTTATTTTTCTATAGGGACAGTATTAGAATGAGAGATAGTAGTTTTAGTAAAAATTGCCATTTTAAGGGGGGACTGTTATGGACAGATGAATTTAAATAAAATGGCTATTTACTAATGTCTATTTATTCTCTGTTCACTATGTTAAAACTGGCTTCTAGAGTAAATATTCCCTTCCCCCCTACAATGTTGTCAGCTGCTGTTTACTATGTAAATCCCTCACATCCTGCTAGCCTCCCCCGCCCCTCAAAACAATAAAACCTTGTGTAACCAAAATTCCTGTGATAACTCCCTTTACTAACTCCTCCCCCACTACCTTTGTGCCAGTTAACAGCTATATGCCACGTATGGCTAAATGGAGGATCAGTGGTTTAGAACTGATAGAAACTACTCACTCCCCCTCCCATTGTGTATCCAAAAGTCTGTAATGATGACACTACATCCTGTAGGGGGGTTTAAACAAGAGCCGCCTTTCTCTGTTAACCAATTGGTGAATGTATACTGTATGTTTAAACTGTGACGTATTTTTGCTTTAAGAAGGAGCCCCCACTCCGGGGAATAAAGTATTCCTGGGTTTTTCACTGATCAGAAACTTTGTCTCCGGTGTGAATTACTTCTAGGGAAAGCGTGCACGCATTAAATCAATTTGAAAGGTGTAGATAGACAAATTATCAAAGTTTTCTTTGATCTAAAACACTAGGATCTAGATTGTTCAAATGTTTTATTTTTTGTATACATTTTGTACTGTTTAATTTTTTTGCAGTTTAGAGTTTTATTCTTTTCATTTATTTAGATTTTTGGTAGTCTCTGTCAGGGATCCGCGGGCGGCTAGGAGGGGAGGCTGCATGCCACTTGCAGCACTCACCCTCAGTCCGTCGCCGCCCGCGGTCTCCCCTCCGCTTACCTGTCGGCGAGCGGCGTCTCCTCTCTGCCGCTGGCGTCCTCCACGCCCCCCAGCGGCAGCATGTATAACGTAGCACGCTGGGAGGTCACTGAATTATGTAAACGCCGGGGTCACGTGAGTGACCCAGCGTTAAAGGAACAGTACCACAATCACAGTGGGAGGTATAGATATCCCTCACGTGTGATTGTTAATTCTGATTGGAAGTTATCCAATCAGAATTAAACCAAGGGTATTTATACTTACCTTTCCTGTCCCTCAGTGCCCTGTTGTGGTCTTGTGTTACCTGTAGCGTAGTGTTCTCGTCTTGCTCTCTGGTTACCGATTATTTGGCTTGTTATTCCGATTATCCTGTCTTCTCCACTCCTTTGACCTCGGCTTGTTTCTCGTTCTCCCGTTTTCTGGCTCCCTTTACTTGGCTTGTCTCCTGACCATTCTTAGTGTGCTTAGCCCGGCCACTCTAAGGACCAGTATAGCACCCTTCCTCTCTGTGACCTGTTAGCGTGTTAGGTTCCGGAATCGTGACAGTCTCATATCTATATCCTTGGGCACTATATCTCATTAATCTTTAATCTCAATTCGAGAGATACCTATATCATCCTTTTAACATCTGGACATTTTTTTTTTTTTTTAACATCCTATCTCCAGGTGTGGTATAGGGTGAAGGGGACCGAACAGATAAAAATTTATCTTTTTTAAGCTAATATACAGGTGGAATAATATATATATATATATATATATATATATATATATATATATATATATATATATATATATATATATATATATATATATATATATATATATTGTGATCCTTGTTTGCAGGTAGCTAACGGTCCTCTAGGGCAAAAACATGCACAGTCCTTGTAGTTGCAAATACTTCTAGGCACTTTATTTGTAAGTTCACACAGGATACAGCAGTTAAATGAAAACAAAAGTAACAGGAAAACCCTATAAACAAAAACCTGGCTCGTCTGAGCACTAACTGACATTAGGTCCCCTATCTCTCAGGGTTAAATAAACAAAACAATAGTGGTTTCACCAACCTAGAGTCTTTGTCCACTCTCAGCACTCCAGTATTTAGCCAGCCTGCTGCTTCCAGCCTTTCAGAGAAAATAAACAGTCTTTTTACCTGCCTAGCAGGGAGGGATTTTTATTCCCACTGCTGCAGCCGATTACCTACAGCTGAGCAGTAGGTTGGAGACAGTCCAAAACCCTGGGCTGGATCTAAGTCTTCCAAGAAAACCGCTAAGCTGCGGAGTGGAGCATTGGCCCACCCTCTCAAATGCTCCACCCCAGGGGCCCATAACTAAACAATGCTTTGTGTAACACACACAAACTACACATACTCCTCCTGGGGTTAAAAATCATATGCCTCTCTGAACAATTCTGTCGAGATATAGACTCCCTCACAGACCACCCCATTCACCTTATCACATATCCCCCTCCCCAGCTCAGACCCATCGGGGCGAGCGGCCTGGGACCATAAACAGTGAACTCTGGAGAGGCCATCCGCATTACCTTGGGCAGTTCCGGCCCTGTGAGCAATAGTAAACTGGTAAGGCTGAAGACTTAGGAACCATCTAGTCACCCTGGCATTCTTTTCTTTGTTATGCCTCATCCATGTTAAAGGAGCATGGTCCGTGATCAGTGTGAAACATCTCCCCAGTAAGTAATATCTCAGGGATTCTAAAGCCCATTTTATCGCCAGGCATTCCTTTTCCACTACGGAGTACCTCTGTTCATGGGGATTCATTTTCCGGCTCAGATACATGACAGGATGTTCCTCTCCTTCATGTACCTGGGACAGAACCGCGCCAAGGCCCACATCAGACGCATCGGTCTGTACCACAAATGGTTTAGTGAAATCCGGAGCCACCAAAACAGGGTCAGCACACAAGGCTCCCTTCAAGACTTGAAAGGCATGCTCCGCTTCCGGGGTCCACTTAACCATAATCGGGCCTTTTGCCTTAGTAAGTTCAGTCAATGGGTTGGCAATGGTAGCGTACCCAGGGATGAACCTACGATAGTAGCCGGTTAAGCCTAAAAAAGCCCTGACTTGCTTTTTAGTTACAGGACGTGGCCAACTGGTGATGGCTGCTACTTTGCTCTCTTGTGGTTTAAGGAGCCCCCGCCCGATAGTGTACCCCAGATATTTTGCTTCTTCTAGCCCTAAAGAACACTTAGCAGGGTTAGCTGTCAAACCGGCAGCCCTTATACTATCCACAACTGCCTGAACCTTCATCAAGTGGGTTTCCCAGTCCGTACTGTGAATCACCACATCATCCAGGTAGGCGGCTGCATACTGTCTGTGGGGGTGAAGTATCTTATCCATCATACGCTGAAACGTTGCTGGGGCACCATGCAACCCAAATGGTAGCACTTTATATTGGAACAACCCATCAGGGGTAGAAAACGCGGTTTTCTCTTTTGCTTTCTCAGTCAGGGGTACCTGCCAGTATCCCTTGGTGAGGTCCAAGGTGCTCAGATATCTGGCCTTACCTAATCGCTCTATTAGCTCATCCACACGAGGCATCGGGTAGGCATCAAACTTAGAGATATCATTTAGCTTACGGAAATCATTACAGAAACGGATTTCCCCATTTGGTTTGGGCACTAACACAATTGGGTTGTTCCACTCACTTTGTGATACTTCAATCACCCCCAACTCAAGCATCTTTTTAACCTCTGCACTAACCGCTTCACGTCTAGCCTCAGGTATCCTGTAGGG